CATGATTAAGCTGTATTTCCCTTAACTTCAACAGAGTTGCATGAGGGTAAAGGCACAGAGTTGTAATTCTTGACCATACGATATCAGAGAATTTTTCGATTGGATCAGTCAAAAAACCCTACCGAACGCTGACCGTTTCTCTGAAACGTACGAATAGGTCACCAAACATTATGCTTTTTATTTAACACTTTGAAAGTAACAAGATTACACGGTGATTTATCGCGTATTTTTGGAGAAAAAATCCTGGACAAGCCCGCTTTTTAAAAGTCCCAAGAGCCCAAGACTCGAAGGAATCAAACGCGTCGGAATGACGGGAAAATGATGGAAGTGATGTACTACGGCAGTCAAATCGCTATCTCCTCTCATTTTCCGCTCATGTTTGTCAAAATAAAACTTTTTCAAATGTGGAATTGTTGCTTGTTCACCATAGACAACATGAATGTTATTCGAGTCCTTGATCCTGAAGACATCGTTTCGACTTTCCTATTGTTATCATATACGAGGATCAGAAAGTTATTTGACGGAAGTCGTAGAAACTCGTGCTCGCTTCTGATTGGTGCAGGATGACATCATTCGTAATCGCGCCAAGCACAGCTCTACCAGCTTGAAACGCGTATTAGCGCCTACAAGACCGTAGGAATACTTCACGCATTGCGCCAAACTCAGTACGGAGCACGGTCGGTGTGGAACGCATATTGGCACCTACAAGACTGTAGGAATACTTCACGCATTGCACGGTGCGCGCCTCAATCGTCGAATGTTCGTAGTTTCTCGGTATTAGACATACCGCCCGCGTAGTGCAGATACATGTGTAAGCAATTTTGTAACATATATGTGTATTACGCAATAATGTAAACAATTTGCTATGGCTGAGCCGGAGCGTCTAGAATGAAGTTGCCATATTTTCGCATCACAGAGACTGCCACGGTAAAGTTTAGTAAGCGATTTGACTCACGTAGACCATTCTGGTTTCATGAGCGGGTGGTTTGAATTCACGCGTCAAAAAACATTAAATATCTTGGTTAGGAGTTTATTTCAGTAATTTTTGTCACGCAAACCGTGTTCTGCGTGGGATTTCTGTTTCAAAAACATGTATCAGAATGCTTATCTTAGTACCTTGTCTAGTAGCCCACTCCAGGAAGAAAAGGGAAACTTTTCAGAGAATTTAAGGGTAATTGGATAGCATTTAGCAAAAATGAACATGCGCGATTACAGTGTCTTCAAAATCGTGCAACTTATTCTTCTCTTTCGAAAAGACTTAAAATTAGTATAGTATTAAAATTAACACAATTATTTTCCTGTAAAATTAACAATTTTCCGGTGGGAGGAAAAAACTATTTGCTATTCTGGGAGCTTCTTCTAGATAATTATGAAGAAGCAACATTTCGACGGTGTAAGTCAGCAATCACATAACCCGGTTTGCGACGTCGCAGACTTCCTGTCATACTTTATTTTTTAAACGGAAAACTACTCAACAGCAATTCTTTAAAACTACCGTGATTTTTCTTCTCTGTGCGACTAAAATTCTGCGTAAACTTCAAAGAATGATGCCAATTTGCTCTCCTTTAAAAAAATAACATAGAGGCGGAAATTTCCAGACACCGCAAACGAGTTATGTGATTGTCGACTTACACCGTCGATTTATATAACAGTGTAATTGCGCTGGTTCCTTTTTTCTAAATGCAATCCAATTAGTCCCGAGTCAAGTGAATAATGTCAGAAAAAATCCCCAAAAAAGCGTGCAAGTCCGATTTTTCCCAAAACTTGCAACCCTGTCTGAGGTAGTTGTTTTGTTAGAGCTCAATCGATGGTACGCCGTGTTTCGCTGTCACCGAATCAGTTTGCAGCCAGGATACTCGTGTTGAAAGCTTTGCAGGCTTAACTTTGTCAATACGCCTTTAAAGCAAGACTGCTCCCTCTCTGACCCTTTTCTCCGCTCAAAACTCCATCCTCTTTATTTGATTACTGTGAAGTACCTTTCAACCGTATTTTCTTTCTGATCCGCTTCCAAACTGTTGGAAGAGTTCTCTTCAGAAGAGAGGCTGCCCTCTACTCGATACTTCCATTGATGACAGCGTGACTGTATCCTCGTTTTGTCATGGATTTGTCAGGACCCGCGAAGGGACTGACTGTATACAAGGCGAGAATTGACCACCTGACAAATTCTGACTTGAATATTTACCCTGTATTTTGATTTTTCCGTACGCAATGAATTTTGCAGTGTAACTGAAAAATGGTACATTTATCTCTGAGTAATATTTAAACCGAAAAATTATTTCCGGCTTAAAAGAACGTTTATCCGCTCCGGGCGAATTTCTTTGGACTGCAAGAATTTCCTCTCCTTTACATTTTTTTTTGGTTTTAAAATAAGTTTTTTTTACTCGCTATATCAATTTTGTCATAGATTACAAATTAACTTTACCTTGAACCTCATTTGAATAAGAAGAAAAACATTCGTAACAATGAAAAACTATTCCTTTAAGTCAAAAGGAACTTTCATTCATATCAAACGACTTCTCAAGAACAAACAACTTTGAAATTTTTTTTTTATTTTTTTTTTTTAATCAATGACAGGGTTTTTATTATATTTTTGTCTAAAACTCGAATCTTTTATCAACTTATAGACAATATTAGAGAGTAATTTCAATCATTGAATCAGCAAACCAATAAGTTAATATATAGCTCCATTTGATCATCCTGTGTTACCTACTTTTGGACGATGAGACGGTAGTTTCATCTTGTTTATCGAAAACTATTTCACAGAAACAGTTGGTCAGCGGAAATTCTAGGTTTCTGCAGAATCTTCATTCCAAGAAATAATATAATTTCATTCACCTTGTGCCAGCATGAATCTTTTTTTTTTTTTTCAAATGATTCTCATGCCACTCTCTGCCGTCAAAAGGCCAGAAAAAGCCCGGAAAATCTCACCTACTAGAAATCATCAAGAAAAGACCCCAGGTGGTCTAGTGGGAGCCCATTAACTCCCAGGTACCAATAGGGATCGACTATATTGGGTGTTTGTCACAATCGGAGTTTCCCTCCTCCGAGTGGAAAGCAGGCAAAGGGGGGCTTTTTCCCCACCGTTCAACCCTCTGCTCTGTTAAAGTTGTATCACGAATTGACAGAAAATCAATCTCTTAGAAATAATAATCTAGCGTTAGGAAGCGTGAAAAAGGAAATAATCCTCCGGTGATCCCTCCACGCTTTTTTTTCCTCGAGCTTTTAATTGCCCCCTGTCCTCGGCAAAGGCTTAAATGTCTTGAAGCTTAAATCGTGGAAGTTAGCGCGAAGTTTATTCTCGACGCCCTTGTTTACGTTAAAGCAGGGCGTCTAATGTACGGAAAAAGTACGGATACACTGACAAACGTGGACTTCGGAAGGTCGGTGCGGAAGTATGGAAAAGGTACGGATTTTCCGTGAAAAGATACGGAAACTCGAGATTTTCGTGATAAATTCTACAAAGTAGCATTGGGAGTATATGCGATATCTTAACATAATCCATTTATCAAGTTCCTGGTTCGATTCTTCGTGTTTTTCGGTTTATCCCTTTGTTATTTTATCATTATTTCTTTTCCCAATCCGAATACAACAAAAAATGCGCGTATAAGGTAAGGAAAAAGCAAGGATTTTTGAGAATCGTCAAGAATTTTCGAGAAAGTAAGGAAAAGGCAAGGAATAGGCACTGAAAAATATAGAGTACATAGAGTCGTAATGCAAGTGGGAGAGCCGGCGCCACTTTTAAGCATTTTCCAGGTCCCAAATTCCGAGATTCCTATGCGGCGCCGGGTCCCTTTTTCGATACATAATCGATTGTTTGCGATACACGGGGACCTGGCCATATTCCACACCGCCATTTTGGATCGAATATGTATCGAAAAAGTGACCCCGCACACCGGGCTCGAAACTCGTCGAGCAGAACATGGCGCCAGCTCTCCCACTTACATTACGACTCTATGTACTCTATGCTGAAAAAGCAAGGCATTTTAATGACAGGGTACCAATAGACACCCTGGTTTAGCCTCAGCTTTCAACCGTTTTCGTCCGGGTTAACGAAAATCGTACGCACGAACAATCGGCATTGTTATGTTGAACTTATTTCAACTTCCTTTCATACCTTTTCTAGGGCGTCGCTTTGAAATAAATGCACTACCCCTCTACGCTTTACCTTTTGCCCCTCGAACTTACAAGTAGTGGCGAGGCGTGAATGATCGAATATCGATATTTATCCATTTGAAGCTATGGTAAAGAATCGATTAATCAGGTGTCCGTTGCGAGCATCCTGTTAATCGATCCTTTTCCATGTTTAAATGGCAGATCAATCGATACATCGCGAAGCACGCCTCGCCGCGCCACTGCGTACTAGCCGTCTTACAGTGCTCTTTGATGCTCTTCCAGTGCTAAACGCAATTATTTACCGTCTGTAGATCCGCAGACCCTCAGATCCAATGCAACGCCTTTTTCCCCTTCGATAGTCGTAAAAATTTAGGCCATTTTTCGATAAAAAAAAAAAAAAAAAAAAAAAAAAAAGTAGAGCGGCAGAAAATCTAGTATTGAACATGGCGTCATTGGAAAGCCTAAGACGTCGTAACTCCAAAGCTTATTCCCTTACAGAGGCGGATCCAGCAATTTGGCAACACCGGATCTCCTCCATTTCAAACTGTGTAAAATAATCGATTCTTGTCCGAGCACCTGGTCCCTCCAAGAATCGATACATTTCCACAGGTCAAACGAAGAAAAACATCGTTGCCAATTTGCAGGATCCGCCGATGTTCCCTTATTCACAAACTGCTTAATTTTGGAAAGGCAATATCGTAAAAAAATCGGAATATTACATGTCTGATATGTCTCGAAAATGAAAGAGGCATGCTTCTCTTACTGATACTATCTGCTTAATTGAGAAAAATATTCACTCCCCTTTTCTTCTTTTTTATGGGAGTTTGTGTGCAAGTTTTAACTTTTCATATCGAGTTCTTAATTTTTTGTTTGTTTTTCTGTTGCAGTAAATCAATGGCTGAAATGAATAGGTGATCCAGGCTGAGATGTTAATCAAAGAATATCGCATTCCGCTTCCTCTCACCGTAGAGGAATACCGGATTGCGCAGCTGTATATGATAGCGGTGAGTTTTCATTTTTTCTACCCTTTCTGCAGTGAAGAACGAATATGTTGAATACAATTCCTTCTCTGTCTGTTTTCCTACACGGAAAGAGAATGTTTGGTTCACATTGAACAGGGTTGACACAGTCAGGGAATGCCGGGAAATGTCAGGGAATTTTAAAAAGTCAGGAAAAACTTGGAAATGTGAGGGAAAATGATGAAAATGTAAGGGGAAAATCGCCGAATCACCTTAATTTGCTTTCTCGAGTAAGTTTGACGTTGCGAATAACACATTTTGCCTGAAAACTATTTCCATAACTATGTCATTTCAAAACTTTGGCATTTGTTCAATTATCAGGGAATTTCACAAAAATGTGTCAGGAAAATCAGGGAAATGTCCAGGAATGAAATTTTCCAAATTCTGTGCCAACCCTGATTGAACTACATAGTCTTACGGTTCAGCTAACCAACGATTTCGGTCATAGATACCGAATTCGGATTCAAAACTAACCGACTTCGGTTCCCATGGCCGAAAAATTCGGTTACCGGAACCGGAAAAATTCGTAGCTCAGTATGAACCGGAGTTCACCATCTTCGACCGGACTTTTTTTTAGTGTGGATCCGGGTTCTTTTTCCGGACTGTAAACACCCTTCAAAACCTCCAAGAAGTTCCGGACCTTGAAATAAAACTCTCTTCATCTGGATCGGACTCCCGGAAAACGGCGAGCAACGCACAGTGGACCAAGTCGACTAGAGAAGTCGGACGTGAAATTTTTGACTAAAACTGCAAATTTTGATGTTAGTTTCGTCCTATGTTAAATTTTAATGGGTGCCTCATAAAGAATATTTCACGAGGAAACCAATGGTACCAATTTTTAGGGTGTCTACAAGTCCAGGATTTCCGGAAAGTCCGGAAGTAGCAATGATTTTTTAAGTGCAATCCGGAAGTACTGAAAAAGTGCGGAAAGTTCGCAAAAAGGTGCGGAATTTTATTTAAATTTTTTGTCATTTTTGTCGCAATTTTAAATTTTTGAAATTTTTTAATTTCCTCAAATGGAGGTACCGAAAAAGTACAGAATTTTTCTGTCGGAGGAGGTACTGAATTTCTTGAGAATGCACTGAAAAAGTACTGAAAAAGCTCTTATTTTTGACCAGCCTGTTTTAGTAGACACCCTGAATTTTAGAACCTCACAGTTTCGTTCAAACGGAGTTATAAGCGTTTAAAGTTTCCAAAGTTCGTCCGACCTTTCCTATTGGCCCGCTCTACCGTGCGACGCTCCGATGACGTAACTTCGGTCGTAAACCAATCGGAGCGCGACAGGAGTTTTTCCCGCCCATTTCTCCCGGTCCGCGCCGAAAGTTAGCGATCGGAAAGCGACTGCGGAGTCGGGGTTCCCATCATCTCTTAATCAAGCTTTTACGAGGTGGTCGGAGGGAATTTTACGAGAAGTCGCTCGGGTTCTTTATTAAAACGATGACGGGCAGGGCCGCTCGACTGGAAGGACCCTTCACCGCTCCGCTCGTGAAAAACGCCTTATCAACGTTCAGACCTTGCCAAATTTCCTCTGGGAAAATATGATGGGTCATTAATCTGCCGTTAGTCCAGGCGCCTGCAGGTATGTCTACCTGGAATTTTCCTGGAATATACCGTTTTCTTCCAAATTATGTCAGCTATTCAAAACATTAACTAAATCCGGAACTTTTTCTCATGCGTAGCCGCTTTATCAAAAAAACCGCAAAAAAAGGCCTTTTTAGGCCATTTTTTCCAAATGGCGGAAAATGCTCACCAGATACGCGATAGGAAACTTCAGATTCGGATTCAGCGACCCAAAAAACATGAAGTAAGCCAAAAAAATCCCTGTGTACCCGAAATCCCAGGTAGCCTCATTTGTAGCTACCAGACGCCTGGACTACGTGTCAAGGTGATTCGATGGTCGCCATATTTTGTGTCAGAACGGCATGCGATATATCGCATTAATTGGTTCCATTTTTTCAGCTACTCGTCATTTTTCTCGAATTTTGAGATCGCAATTCTGTTGTCAGGAGACTAAAGCACCCACTCACCAATTTTAACAAAGAAATTCAACCTAATGAAGGCGTGGTTTTTTTAGAGAGAAAACATCGCATTCGATACTGATATCGAAACTGCACTCGAATGCTATATTTTCTCTCTGAAACAACCACGCATTTATTACGTTGAATTTCTTTGTTGAAATTTGTAAGTGAGTGCTATAGTCTCCTGACAACAGAATTGCGATCTCAAAATTGGATAAAACTGACGAGTAGCATGAAATAATGGAACCTATTGATGCGATATATCGCATGCCGTTCTGACACAAAATATGGCGTCCATCGAATCACCTTAATCTGCTGTGTTAAGGAAGGACGTCGTATGAATATTCGAGAGTTGCCAAATTTCCTCGGATAAAACATGCATTTCTCAGGAAAGTTCTTCATATTTTTCCTTGAAATTTTCAGATACTTCAGATCCAATCGTGAGTAAATTTCTCTGAACATTTGGAGGAAAAATCTTCACGTTTCTTGAAAAGTTCGTATTTTATCAAAGGAAATTTGTCAACGTCTGAAGGCTCACACGGCGTTCTTCCTTAGCATGGCACTTGGCAGTAATTCGCGAGCGCTGGAGCGCTCCTTTTGTCCTCTATCATGACGGAGCACGATCGGCATGGAACGCATGATAGCGCCTGCAAGACTGTAGGAATACTTCGCGCATTGCGCCTACGCCACGGTACGATGCGCTCCAATCGTCGAAAGTTCGTAATAGACCGGGGCGCTTTTTTACGGAATGCGCTTTTCGAAATGCGTATCCCTAGGTCTCTGTGCTACTTTTTCGGGTTTTCAATGCGCGAATCGTATTCTACTCGTCATTTACCATTGTTAATACACATTCGCGAGTCAAAATTCGTTCCTAGTTTAGTGACTCATTCCAAGGAAAAATAATACTAACCCTTCCCAAAATAAAATTATTTTTCCAAGGAACTTTGGCGACGTTCGAAGGACCATACTACCGTGCTAAGCCCAAGGAAGAACGCCGTACAAACATTCGAGGGTTGCCAAATTTCACCTGATAAAACATGTATTTTTGACAGCATTTGTGCATATATTTTCTTGAAAATTTCAGATATTTTAGATTAAATTGCGTATTAAATTGTGTGAAACTTTTGGAAAACAACGTTCTCAATTTTCTCAGTTAATTCGGTTTTTATCAGGGGAAACTTGGCAACGTCTGAAGGCTCATACGGTGTTCTTCCTTAGCTCGCCGGTTCAGCCCTCCCGGGTCGCGCGTCGACCAGTCAAGCGGCAAACGCGCCAGGGCGGCAGCCTGTTTCATGTTTCCCCCCGTTCTATTTTATCATCCGAGTTATTTTTTATTTCGCCACCCTCCTCCCCCCCTCACCCATCGTGATTCGGGAAAATCAGCCGTCCCTGGAGCTCCCCTTGATGGAGTTTATTCTCTTCCGTCATCGTAATGCGGCCGTATAAAGTCACCTGAAGTTGTTTTTTTATTTCGAGGGGTTGAAAGCCGAATTATTTCGGCCGACCCTCGAGGCGGGTTCCCGGGAGAGTCTGGAAAAAGGTCGCACGACCGCGCTTCTGACACCGGTCGGGGCTACTGTTTTTGGATTATTGATATTGATACGCGACCCCTTTTTCGAAATCAAAGGCGTCTTACGCTGGAAACAGGAGGCGTAAGGATGGAGCCGGAGCGTTGAATACCACTCTGCACTAAAAAAAAATTCTCCGCGTTTTTACCAAGGTCCGTTGGTGCCTTTACCATCTCACCTTTTTTACCAGTTATTGGTAATTTTATCAAGAGAGACTGGTAAGCTTACCTAAAAACCGGTATTTTTACTGTTTTTTTTTTCAGGTAAGAATACCACTTTTATGGGTAATCAATTCCCGGTAACTTTGCCATTTTATTTCGGTAATTCTACCACAGTCTATAAAAAATATTGGCGTTTTTACCGGGGTCCAGTAAAATTACCGAGAAAGTTCAATAATTTTACCGAGATTTCTCGGTAAAACTACCAATTCCATAAATGGTAATTTTACCAAGAAAAAACTGAAATCAAATAGAACCCTGAATTCTCGGTAATTATACCCTTTTCTTAGTAAATACACCGATATTTTTTTTTTTCAGTCCGTCGTGCTAAGTAAGAAGGCTTTACGAGCCATCAGACGTTGCCAAATTTTCTACGTCAAATCACGAATTTTCAAGAAAAGTTGTGAATATTTCCTCTCCGCCTTTTTAGAGGATTTCGCACGTAATTTGATCTAGTTTTTTGAAGGAAAAATAGTCATAACTTTCTTCAAAAATACATATTTAAGTACAGAAATTTGGCACCATTCTTCATCAACAGGCGTAACCAAACTCCCTTCCGACAATAATGAACTTTCAGGAAAATTTTTGAAAATTTCCCTTTTGACTTTTGGAAGATTTCGTTCAAGATTGGATTTAAACAATCTGAAAATTTCAAGGAAAAATATTATCAAAGCTTTCTTCAAAAATGAACATTTTCTGAGAGGAAATTCGGCAACATTCGGATGCTCATTCAGCGTTTTGACTTTAGCACGACACTTAAGGGTTGGTCTTCAGACTTTCCGTGGTTGGATCCGTTTTTCTCGTGAAATTTAAAGGAGAAAACATGCTCTTTAATGGTTTAACCCTGTCTAGACAATGAATTCCACGCCTAGTCCAGGAGCCCATTTTTCCAATTCACTTTCTCATTAATTACCTAAGCTGAGACCGATGTACTTCCTTCAATTTTACTAACTAAAAGTCAAAGGCATAAAAAAATTCCAATAACTCAGTCTCATTCCAAAGCCTAGTTACGACCTTTCGCCTTCCGGGGCAAGGTTCAGCTTGTTTCGGCTCAGATCTAGCAGTTACGTTACAGGAGCAGGGTTAATTAGGGTTCTCGTTAGTCCACCTCTAGATAACTTTCGCCTCGTATTTTATGAAGTTTTGTCTCCGGTGTTTTGTTGGAATTCGCACACATTTTC